AGCAGCCTATGGCATTCCAAGCAAGGAGTGCTCAGATCCACTTCAAGCTTTGCTATACAGCTCAATAATCCCAGTGGTCTTACAAACATCCCCTCTTGCAGGAAATGTTATGTTTTCATTGAGTAGAAGACAACCTTAAACAGAAACCTTTGTGCTTCTTATTAATGCTGTATTAATATTATCTGCAGTAATATGTCTTCTGCAATGTCAATCAATCCAGTAGTCTGTCAGCAAACATTTGGTAACCACTGGATACAGAGACAAAAGGGGAATAGTCCTTGCCCTCAGGGAGCTTAAACTCTATCAGGGAAGACAACATGTATAAATGTAGCAAATTAAAAAAATCAATACAAAGGCCACTAGAAACTGGGGGCTGGTGTACGTTTCTACACTCAATTGTAATCTCCCTGAGGGCAGTCACTGTTTATTATTGTTGCTGCTGTAGTTGTTTTTAGATTGGCATTTCATTGGCATAGTGTGCTCTCTGAGGAAGCTCCTTCCACAAAAATCAATCATAGCCTCTTACAAGTCTTAGAGAGCTACCCAGGGATACAGAGAGGTGAAGTAACTCACCTAGGGTCACACAGTCAGAGGCAGGATTCAAGCCAAGATCTTCCTGCCTACAAGTCTGGCATGCTAGACTTCCATCAGTCATGGTTCTCATGGACTGCAGTCCTCTGAGGTTTACAAAGTACTTTTATCTCAGTAGTCCCTCCCGTAATGCAGCCTGGTGTCTGGCCTTAACTAGGCACTCTATAAATATGTTTGTTGGTAGTGATATCTATATAGAATAACCATTCCCTCAGGATTTCCTCTCACAAAAAATCAGCACAAATTCTGTTGTTGGGACAAGCTATTATTTCTGCAAACACTCAATGACAAGGATGTTTATTGCATGCCTGCCCCATATAGGAACCAGGATAAGTGCCGAGAGAGATACACAGGCAGATAAACCCTCAGAGTTTAAATCTATAGTAGGAAAGAAGATATGGACCTAACCCAGGCTGGACGTGAAGGCAGAGGTGAGCCAGGAGCCAAGCTCTCCCAGAGTTCATCAGAGGGAGAGATCACTTGCACTCACAGGGATCAGAACACACTTCACAGAGCCAGGGGCATTTGAACTGGGATTTGATGGATGGGTAGGATTTCAGGAGGCAGGGAAGGGCAGGCAAGACCTCCAGACTTAAGGAGCAGTGTGAGCAAAGGCTTGGCAAATGAGCTTGGCCTTTGTTCAGCATGAAGTGGGAGCCACTGAGAGTTTCCAAATAGGGAAGTGATACAGCTACAGCTGTGTATTAGGAAGACTCAAGCAGTAGAGTTAAAATGAGAGTTATCCTGGAACTGCTGAAAGGAAACAAAGAGATAGAACAATAGCTAGATAATAGATAAATAGATAGATATAGATATGATAGTAATAGAAATGAGATAAATGATAGATAGATAGATAGATAGATAGATAGATAGATAGATAGATATACATATTAGACTGATGAAGCCTTTATTAAAGGCTTACTAAGTGCCAGGCACTATAAGTGCTAGTACACAAATACAAGTAAGACAGACAGTCCTTGACTTCAAGGAGCTTACCTTCTAATTAGGGGGAGACAAAATATAATGGAGAAGTACAAAAGAAGTATTGGACAGCATAATATGGAAGCCTGCATAAGACAGAAGAGAGGAGGGGAAGGGAGGGGAAAGGAAAGGAAGGGAGGGGAAGGAAGAGGAGAGAAAAGGGAAGGGAAGGGGAGAGGAGGGGAGAGGAGGAGAGAGAAGAGATTTCCTTAAAGATGTTAACAACAATATTTATAATTGAAAAAAACTGAAAATAACCCAAATATTTAACAATAAGAGAATTGTGTGATTGTGATACATTTGTATGATGTAATTGTATAAAGAAATTATTATGAAGAAGAATGAGGAATATAAAGAAATATGGAAAGTACTTTATGAAATAACACTGAGGGGAAAAATCAGTACTGAAAGGACAGAGCACTCCCTAATGAGTGAGAATAAGCAGACAAAATTTCCCAATGGAGACCTCAAGGGAGTGAAAGATAAGCTAAGATGATGTTTTATGGAATGAATTCCATTTGTCTAAATGCAAATGGTTACAAAAATATATTTAGTTGATTTGCTTTTAATGTTGTTTATTACAAATCATACTTTTTAAAAACAAAGTTAATGGTGTTAATAAGAGACCAATAGATGAGAGTTACTCTTCCTCTGTGGTTTGGTCCTCACCCAACCAGAAGGGGCAGTGTAGAAGGAACCTAGTTTAGGAGTCAGAGGATGTGGGTTTAAATAGGGCCTCTGACATTTACTAACTGTGGGACCTTGGGTAAGTCACTTCGATTTTCATGGGCCTCAGTTTTCTCCACTGTAAAATGAGGGGGCTGCATTAGAGGGCTTCTTGAGGTCCCTTCTAGATTTAGAGCTTGCATCCTTCTTATAGTATTTTCTGTGGGTTTGATTAGAGGATATTTTAAGGGACACAGAAAAGTCATTTCCAAATAAATTCAATTAAAACTAGTTCTTGCCCAGTCTAATTCTGAGAAGAGGTCTTTCTTCAGATAGAGAGACCAGAAGTGATGGGGTCCCTCCTCACTGGGCTCTCCATTGCCTGGCTACTGACTTCAACTGTATTTATTTCAGTCTGGGTCAGATGAAACTTTTGAAACAGATGAAAAGGAAGACAGACATGGGGGACGGACAGAGCCCTGCTCAAAGGCACATCCTTGTCTGTTCTGAGCAAATTTTAAAAAACTACCTTGGATCACAGGATTATTCATAAAAACTACTGGACCTCACAGGCCCTCTGGTCCAACTCCCCCATTTTACAGATGAGGAAACTGAGGCCCATTGAGGTAAAGTGATTTGTCCAAGGTCACACAAGTAATAAGCATCTGTCCTTGGGGATCAGGAAGAATGATACCTTATCTTTCAACAGCATCTCCCACTATTCAAACCACCTTCTCACACTCTCTCTTCTTTTGTCCTCCCAATAGCTCATAAGTGGAGCAGCTTTTATGCCCCCAACATGGTTCAACTGAACTCAGTCAGTAAGAACTATTTTTTACATGGGGTAACAGTATTTTTTTCTCTGCTCCATTAAAAACTGAATATGATTCATGCATCCAGAAAATGAAATGTGACCAGATTTAAGAACTAGAAAGGCTGCAGTGCAAATGTGGAACGATAAATCAATATTAAATAATGATCCCCAAACTGTGCTTTCAAAAAGAATGGGAAGCTTGTGAGAATAAGCATTAGAAATTCAAGGGGTGAGAGGGCATGTCTGAAAACTGAGATGGAGTAGGTGTTTTGAGGGGAGAGCACTTTCCCCTCACTGCCAGCAGCACCCAACACAGCAAAGGACAAGAGATTCTCATGGGGTTGAGGGTGACATGTGGAGGAAGTACAGTACCTGTTGGCCTCCTGTTTGAGCTGATCAACAAGAATTTATGGAGAACTGACTTTGGACCAGGCACTGTGCCAGATGCTGGAGTTACAGAAGTTACACAGTCCCTGCCCTCGAGGAGTTTACACTCCTAAAGAGCTCTGGCTCTTGTCATTTGCTCTGTGACTGCTCCCTTCTATGTGTGTTACCTCCTACAATTAGGATGGAAACTACTTATGAGCACAGATCTGGAGCTGGCAGGGACTTCGGAGACCAGCCAGTAGTCTATCCTCCCCCCCATTCTACAGATGAGTAAACTGAGAGCAAGACCTGTATCCTTTTTTTCTATTTGTGTCCCCAACACTTAGCACAGTACTTTTCATAAGGTAAGCAATTATTTACTTTTTCAGGAAAGATGAGAGGGACTGATAGACTGAGTCAGAGACAAAGGGGAGAGAGGGAAAGAGAAAAAAAGAAAGAGATGGAGAGGAAAAGACAAATGAGAGAGGGAAAGAAAGGGAGGAGAGAGAAGGGGAGAGACAGAGAAAGAAAGAGAGGGGAGGGAGGGAGAGGAGAGGAGATCTGAACAGAAGAGAGAAGAGGAGGGGAGAGGGAAGGGAGAGAAGAGGAGGGGAGAGGGAAGGGAGAGGAAAGAGGGGAGGGGAGAGGAGGGGAAGGGGAGGGGAGCAGAGGGGAGGAGAGAGGAGGGGAGAGGGAAGAGAGAGGAAAGAGGGGAGGGGAGAGGAGGGGAAGGGGAGGGGAGCAGAGTGGAGGAGAGAGGAGGGGAGGGGAGGGGAAAAGGAAAAGGGAAAGGGAAAGGGAAAGACAAACAAAATAGAACCAAAATTGGAAGCAAAGGGATTGGGGGAGGGGAGACACTAGCAGGTGTTTGGAATCAAGAAAATCTTCATGTAGGTGATGTGCTGCTTAAGTTGCTTCTTGAAAGAAATAACATATTCTAAAAATATGAGTGGAGGAAGCAGTGCATTCTCCTAACAAAGAGCTGAACTCAGCTGTTTTTACCCTGCTTTAGAACAGCAAGGGCTCCCAGTACCCTCAAAATGTGGGTGCCCTGGTGCAAAACCCACACTGCTCTTAGTAACAGCACTGCCCCAAACCAGGAGAACTGCTAATTCTGTTTCTGCTTTGCTGAATTAAAAAGCATTCAAAAGAAAGTACTATAATTTCATGCATGTAATGTGCATAGCCTTAAAAAGCGCACCACTAAAGTATGTAAACACTTACAGTCATGCATTTCACATGTTCCCTAAATCGACTTCCAATTTTGCTTTATAATCCCTTCCAAAATAACCATTGGGCATAATAGGCACTCAGGATTCCACATGCCTGACCTCTTTTTTTTTTCCTCCTTTCTACACCTCATATAATGCACGGTTATAGTCATGGATTTAAGGGAAGATATAATTAAATGCTTCTTAACATAAAGTATAATTACCTTCTCAAACGCCTAGCTTTAGGAAAAGGAGCCAAAAGCCAACGGGGCCACATCCACAGCCCAGCATGAGAGAATTGCCAAGGAAGATAAAGTACAAAACTGTGAGGGCTCTTTGGTAGCTCCAGGGGAAGAAGAGAAATGTCTCACCTGGTGCTGGGCTGCTCAAGGTAAGCTCGGCTTTCTCTTGTTCCAAGCCTTGGCTTCCCTCTCTGCACAAGAGACAGTCAGATGTAGCAACAGATAAGGTTGTTCTTGGAGCAGTGCTGTGGTAGTAAATATTTAACAACCATCTCTCTGAAAAAAAAAAGGAAACACTGATATACTTTGAAGCCTAACGTGCATTATTAATATTTTCTCCATCACTTTCTGAAGTTTGTTGTTGTGATTGAGTTGTTTCTGTCATGTCTGACTCTTCTTGACCCTATTTGGGGTTTTCTTGACAAAGATACCAAAGTAAGTGGTCTGTCACTTCCTTCTCCAGCTCATTTTACAGATGAGGAAACTGAGGTAAACAGGGTTAAATGACTTACCCAGGCTCATATAGTTACTAAGTGTCTGAGGCTGGATTTGAACTAAGGGAGATAAGTCTTCTGACTCCAGGCTTGGTGCTCTATCCCATGTGTCATTTAGCTTCCACCTTACATGACAATAAATTCCAAACAGATAAATACAAATATAGAAAGTCTAGACCCGACGTTCTATCCACTGTACGACCTATCTGCCCTTTCCTAAGTCTAGACAATCAATAAATCAAGCCCCAAATAGGAGCATTTCTGGGGTATAAATGTAAACATCAGGGGCTCTCAGGAGCCCAAATAAGCAGGCTCCCGCATCCTTCCAACTTGGAGTCAGAAGACTGGTTCACATTGAGCTTAGGGACTTACCAGCTATTTGAACCTGGGCAAATCATTTAACTTCTGTCTGCATCGGTTTTCTCATCTGTAAAATGGGGATACTAAAAACAGCTCCCTCCCAGGAGATAACATTTGTTAAGTACTTTGCAAGCCTTAAAGTGCTATGTAAATACTATTATTTACATAGGGAGTTGTACTAGATGACTTCAAGGTCCCTTCCAGCTTGATAATTCTATGAACCTCTGAGCTGCTAGGGGACTGAGAAGGCACTTCCTGTTTTGTTTTCTTTTCTCACTCATAGTTTTATCTGGGAACTTGCTCTACCAATGAAGATTGGAATCTTCTCTGTAACTTGGATTCTTAGCGGGTCACCTGAGACACTGAGAGGTGACCTGTCCAAAGTCACATGGCTAGGCATGTGGCAGAACTGGGACTTGAATCCAGAGCTCTCTGACTCTGGGGCCAGCTTTCTTCTACCCACGATGCCATTTGTGAAATAAAAGGAAAGCCTGTTTTTTGACTCCAGCATTTGACTCTCCCTATGGGGAGAACATTCAGAAGTGAGCGACCAGCAGATGAAGGACCTTCTGAGGATTAGCTGAAGGCATTGGAAATATTTAGCTGGAGGGCAGAAGAGTTGTCTTCAGGTAGTTAAAGTGCTAAAACTTTTTTAAAAAAGGAACTAGACTGGGTCTGTTTGGCTCCAAGGGGCAGAACTAGAGACAATAGGTGGAAGTCCCAGAGACACAAATTTAGACTTGATGTTATGAAAAACTTCCTTGCAGTGAGCCCTGGGCCTAAGTGAAATAGGTGACCTTGGGACTGGGGTGGGGATGGGGGAGAGTCACCTTCATTTACAGGCTTTATGAACAGCTAGATGACCCTTGTCAGGTTGATTGGCTCACAGAGGGAGTCAGATGGGTGAGATGGCCTCTGAGGCTTATTCCTGCTCCTGCAGGCCATGACTTTATGGGCCAAATGCCCATTTCTCATCAATTTTCTTATTAATTGTTTTTATATAAAAGGTTTGATTCCTTCATTCAATTTAATGTGACAAACATTTCTTAAGAGTGAAGCATTGAGTAGGTATGAGCTGGCCGTAGCATAACAGAAGATCATAGATTCCAAGATGGAGAAGACCTTGGAAGCCAACGAGAGCACTCCCCCTTATTCTACATATGAGGAAACTGAGGCACAGAATAGTTAGATGGTGTGCCCAGAGCTAATATGCATCAAATACAGGATTTTAACTTGGAATTTCTTGTCTCCAACCCTAGCACTCTACCCACTATGCTACTTTGTAACAACAAATTGTGAACCAAAAAGTGGGATTGGAGATTCAGCAAAGAGATAAGCACATGGAAGCAGAGGGATGGAACATCCCAGCAAGAATGAAGAACAGTAGGCAACCCACATGTGGCAACAATACCAGTGACATCAATAATTCCAAAGATAGGCTCCTAGCTTGTTGGGTAGGACCTCTGTGGAAGATGCATCCTGGGAGGACATGGACAATAGGGGTATATGATGGCAAGGCATGAACAGGTTGCAATATGTACCACTGGAGTAAGGGCTCACAGCAATGAGATCACAGATATATGTTGTTCAGTCATTCAAGTCTTGTCCAACGCTTCATGACCCAATTTGAGGCCTTCTTGGGAAAGATACTGGAAAGGTTTGCCATTTCCTTCTCCAGCTCTTTTTACGGATGAGGAAACTGAGATAAACAGGGTTAAGTGACTTGCCCAGGGTCACACAGCTAGTAAGTGTCTGAGTCTGAATTTGGACTCATAAAGATGAGTATTCCAGACTCCAGGTCCAGCACTCTGTCACTGTGTTACCTTGCTGCCCCATTATACCTTATGTGACAATAAATTCCAAACAGATGAATAATACAAATATAAAGTCACATGAAAAAAAAGAGTGGAACAAGTTTTATTACTTACATTTATGGAGAGAGGAAAAAAATATAACTAGATGTGGGTTAGAAGAGATAATAGGAAGAAAAATTCACACTACATGAAAATTGAAAGCTTTTGCTAAAAATCATTCAGCTAGAATAAAAAGAAATGGTATAAATTGGGGAAATAATCTTTGTATTTTATGTCTCTGATAATACTGTAGCACAAAATTGAAAGAGAACACATAAAACATACAACTCTTTTTGTATAAATTATAAATTTATAAATTATGTATAAAGTATATTATAAATTTATAAATTGTATTTCATTTTTTCCAATTACATGTAAAGATAGTTTTCAAAATTCATTTTTTATAAGATTATGAGTTCCAAATTTTTCTCCCTCCTCCCCTTCCCAGGATGGCAAGCAATCTAGTATAGGTTATACACATGCAATCATGTTAAACATATTTCTGCATTAGTCATGTTGTGAAAGAAGAAACAAAGCAAAAGGGAAAAGCCACGTGCACACACACAAAAGATCTGCATTCTGACTCCATAGCTTTTTCTCTGAATGTGGATAGCATATTACATCATAAGTCTTTTGGAATTGTCTTGGATTATTGTATTTCTAAGAAGAGCTAAGTCTGTCATAGCTGACCATCGTACAATGTTACTATCACTACGTACAACATTCTCCTGGTTCTGCTCACTTCACTCAGCATCAGTTCATGTAAGTCTTTCCAGGTTTTTCTGAAGTCTGTCTGCTCATCATTTCTTATAGCACAATACTATTCCCATAACATTCATATACCACAACTTGTTCAGCCATTCTCAAACTGTTGGGCATTCTCTCAGTTTCCAATTCTTTGCCACCACAAAAAGAGCTGCTATAAATATTTTTGTAGATGTAGGTTTCTTTCCTTTTTTTTTTTTTACAATCTCTTTGGGATACAGACCTAGTAGTGGTATTGCTGGATAAAAGGGTATGTACAGTTTGATTGCCCTTTGGGCATAGTTCCAAACTGCTCTCCAGAATGGTTGAACTAGTTCACAACTCCACCAACAAAGCATCAGTGTCTCAATTTTCCCACATCTTCTCCAAAATTTTTCATTTTCCTTTTCTGTCATATTAGCCAATCTGATAGGCATGATGTGGTACCTCAGAGTTAAAACATATACTCTTTTTAAAAATTTTATTAATTTATTTTCATTTATCAATAATCACTTCCATATGCTTTTGAGTTTAAAATTTTTCTTCCCCTTCCTCCCCACCACCCTTCGCAAGATGGCGCACAATCTGATATAGGCTATACATTTACATTCCTATTAAACATATTCTCACATTAGTGGTGTTGTAAGTAAAAATTAAAACCAATATGAGGAACCATCAGAAAGAGGAAACAAAACTCAAGAGAAGAGAAAAAATAGCAATTCAACTTTCACAGTTCTTTCTTTGGATGTGGACAGCATTTTCCATCACAAGGCCTCTGGAGATGTCTTAGATCCTTGTATTGCTGAGAAGGGTTAAGTTTATCAATATTAGTCATCATACAATGTGGCTGTTATTGTATACAACATTCTCTCGGTTCTGCTCATTTCACTCAGCATCAGACCATACAAGTCTTTCAGGTTCTTCTGAAGTCAGCCTGTTCATCATTTCTTATAGCACAATAGTATTCCATTATATTCATATACCACAACTTGCTCAGCCATTCCCCAGTTGATGGGCATCCTCTCAATTTCCAATTCTTTGCCACCACAAAAAGAGCTGCTATGAATATTTTTGTACATGTGGGTCCTTTTCCCATTTGTTTGATCTCTTTGGGATATAGCCCTAGAAGTGCTATTGCTAAGGTCAAAGGGTATGCACGGTTTTATAGCCCCTTGGGCATAGTTCTAAATTGTTCTCCAAAATGGTCGAATCATTTCACAATTCCACCAACAATGCATTAGTGTTCCATTTTTCCCACATCTTCTCCAACATTTATTATTTTCCTACTTTGTCATGTTGGCAAATCTGATAGGTGTGATGTGGTACCTCAGAGTTGTTTTGATTTGCATTTCTCTAATCAGTAATGATTTAGAGCATTTTTTTGTATGACTATAGACTGTTTTAATTTCTTCATCTGAGAACTGTCTGTTCATATCCTTTGACCATTTATCAGTTGGGGAATGTCTTATATTCTTATAAATTTGACTTAATTCTCTACATTAGATATGAGGCCCTTATCAGAGAGACTGGTTGTAAAAATTCTTTCCCAATTTTCTACCTTCCTTCTAATTTTAGTTGCATTGGTTTTGTTTATGTAAAAACGTTTCAATTTAATGTAATCAAAATTACCCATTTTGCTTTTCGTAATGTTCTCTACCTCTTGTTTGGTCATGAATTCTTCTATTCTCCATTGATCTGATAGGTAAACTATTCCTTGATCTCCCAGTTTGCTTATAGTATCAGCCTTTATATATAAATCATGAACCCATTTTGACTGTATTTTGGTATATGGTGTGAGATTTTGGTCTATGCCTAGTTTCTGCCATCCACCACTCTATTTCTTAGCCAGTACCAAGCAGTTATTCTTTTTTTTTTTAAACATATACTCTTAAAAGCCATTACTCAGTAGACTAGTGGTCAAAGGACATGCCAGTTTCAAAAAGAATAAAGGCTATCAATAACCACTTTTAAAAGTGTTCAAAAGCAATTCAATCTAAAATACCCCAGAAATGCTACCCATCTAACCAGTACAGATGCCAAAAACTGGGAAATCTCATTGTCTGAAAAGCCATGCCACTGCTAGCTGCACCGTGAGTTGATACAGCCACCATGCATATAATTTGGGATGATCTTAGGGAAGCAATATTTATATCCTTCGGCTCAGAGATCCTTTGAGACTCTCTCTCAAAAAAAAGTTATTAACAAGAAAAAAGGAGCATCTATACAAAAATATACATAACAGCATTATGTATGGTTTATGAAAAAAGTTAGAAACAAATATATCAGCCAATAAATGGGGGAATGGCTGAAGAAATTATGGCAGATGAAGGTAATGGAATATTATTGCTCCATAACGCATGACAAATAGGAAGAATTTGAAGAAACACAAGAAGACTTATGGGAAGCAAATTTAAAGAAAGCCAAGTCAAAAGAATGATAGATACAATGACTGACTATAACAACGTAAATAAAGGAAGTCAACAGAGCTCTACTCAGTAACAATGGCTGCAGCATCATGTAACCAAAGTTAAAGTTAATCATTGATGAGTAGATATTTCTCTGGAAATACACTTGGTAAAAAGGGGAATTATTTGGTTGTTTATATATCTATTTTTGCTTGTAGCAGAGGAAGGGAGGAGGAGGAAGGTGAAAGAGGGTTCAAAGTCAATTGAACTAGTTGAAGCGGGAGTTGGAATTGACATAAGGACATAAGAGCAGACCTCAAAGGTCATTTGGTCTAATCCCCCATTTTGCAGTTGAAGGAATGGAGACATGGACAGAAGAACGGATTTACTAACTTACTACAGGTAATAAGGCATCAGAGGAATTTCAAGCCAGGTCCAAGCCTTGCCACTGTAACACAAGGTAAATCAGGGTTGTTAGACCCAAAAAGGCCTAGAAAAGTGCTATGCCCGACCTCTCCACTTTACAGATGAAGAAGCTGAGTCTGAGAGGTTAAGTGCTTTACCCAAATCTCCTCAATCCTAATCCATGCTGCTTTCTCCAACTCAAAAGTAGTATATACTTTACTGGTGGGATTGGGTCAGTAGAATAATTTTTGCACATAAGAGAGAGCATAGTTTAGACCTGGTGGATAGAGTGCTGGGCCTGCGGTCAGGAAGACCTGAGTCAAATCCTCAGACGCATGGTATCAGTGTCACCCTGGAAAAGTCACTAGTCTCAGTCTCTCTCTCTTTCTCTCTCTCTCTCTCTCTCTCTCTCTCTCTCTCTCTCTCTCTCTCTCTCTCTCTCTCTCTCTCTCTCTCCCCCTCTCTCTCTCTCCCCCTCCCTCCCTCCCCCACTTTCCTCATTTGTAAAATGGAAATAATAGTGGCATTTACCTCCCAAGACTGTTGTGAGGATAAAATGAGATATTTGTAAACTGCTTTACAAACCTTAAAATGCTATGTAAGTGATAGCTATTATTATAATTACAATCCTGAATGTATATACCATACATATATATGATATGTATATGCACACATGTCAAAAGATAGAGAGCAAAGTTGGGTATAAAATGGATAATTTTGATTACATTAAATTAAAAATGTTTTATACAAATAAAACAAATATAGTGAAGATCAGAAGGAAAGTAGAAAATTGGGGAAGAAATTTTATAGACAGTTTCTCAGATAAAGGTCTCATATCTTAAATATTTGAAGAACTTTGTCAAATATATAAGAATGCAATTCATTCCCCAATTGATAAACAGTCAAAGCATATGAACAGGCAGTTTGCTAATGAAGAAATGAAAACAATGTATAGTCATATGAAAAATGGTCTAAATCATTATTGATTAGAGAAATGCAAATTAAAACTACCTTGAAATATCACTTTACACCTATCAGTTTGGCTAAAATGATTGAAGAGGAAAGAGACAAATGTTGAAGGAGATATTGAAAAATTGGGACACTAATTCATTGTTGGTGGAATTGTGAACTGATTCAACCATTGTGAAGAGCAATCTGGAATTATGTCCAAAGACTTATTAAACTGTTTATACCCTTTGACCCAGCAACACCACTGTGTATTTGCAAAGATGATTAGGGGAAAAGAGTAAATTCCTAAGGCAGCCTGCTTGGACTGGGCTTCTTCTCTCCCCTTCCTTCCATTCCCCATCCCTCAAAAAAAAAAGACCTTTGAGTATATAAACACTGAGCATCCAAGGAATTGTAGCATCCCTGTGCACATCTTACCTGGCTTACTCATGACCGGGCTATTCAAAAGTGCTTGGGGTTGTGTTTATATTGGTACATCTGAAAGGCTGCCAGATCCCTTTGTCTCCCAGAGTAGAACCTTCTCCCCACCTCCAAGCACCACCATTCAGGAGCCACTTAGACCAGACTGGTGGGGTCTCTCGGGTGTGCATTTAGAGCATGATCTGGATGAAGGAAAAAGAAACCTGAATCCCTAAGGACCAATGGGGAAGTGGGCTACCCATCACCTGACAGAGAAATGATGAACTTGGGATGCAGAATGATTTTTTGTACATGACCAATGTTGGAATTTGTTTTGTATGACCATGTTTACTTGGTTAAGGGGGAAGGGAGGGGAGGGGAAGGGAAGGGAAGGGAAGGGAAGGGAAGGGAAGGGAAGGGAAGGGAAGGGAAGGAAGGGAAGGGAAGGAAGGGAAGGGAAGGGAAGGGAAGGGAAGGGAACGGAAGGGAGGGGAAGGGAAGGGAAGGGAGAGGGAAGGGAAGAAGGGAGGGAGGGAAGGGAAGGGAAGGGAAGGGAAGGAAGGGAAGGAAGGAAGGAAGGGAAGGGAAGGGAAGGGAAGGGAAGGGAAGGGAAGGGAAGGGAAGGGAAGGGCATAAACATTAAATACCTACTATGTGCCCGACTTTGTGCTGTTTTATAAATATCATCTCATTTGGTTAAATGAGATATTTGGCACAAGAGTTTTCTCTTTCTTCATGGAGGAGGAGGTGGGAGGGAGAGAAAAGAGATTTTTGTTAACTGAAAAAAAATTTTTAATCAAAACAACTCCTCCCCCCCAAAGACACATGTGGGGCTATGTCATGGACTAGCATATGTCTTCTCTGTATCTTTTGCTTCAGTGTTAATAAATTATGACCAGGTATGTTCCCTGTGATCATGAGCATTCTCTCTCTGATATAATCCAAATAATAATAACCAGTTCATCCTCGAGGCAGCCTCAGTCACCAAAATCCACTCAGGTGCCATCCTCTAAAAATCTTAACAAATAGGAGGCTTATTCCTTTTGGCTTCATCATGGAATGAGTTGGCAAAAAAAATTTTGTTAGGATTTTTTCTAAGACAGTGAATTTCTACTTGGAATATTTCTTTTCAGATTTATTTAGTTCATCTGGTTTCCTTTATGTGGTTTAAGATAATGACTTCTGGATATAAATCAGGTGGAACTGGTAGGAAGTTGGGGAGGGGGTCTTCTGGGTTGGCCTGATCTGACCAATAGCAGCGCTATTGACCTTGGAATCTGCCCCATCTGCTGCTTAGCTCTGAGGTAGGAGGCAAAAGGAAAAAGAAGATGCCTGTTGTGATAGAGCATCCCATATCCTATATTCAATTCCCAAAGGTTCAAGTACCATCAGATAATCTTGGTGTTGGGCTAGGGGGAAGATAAACCTATCGCACATGCTAAGTTAGCATTGGGCACTAATGAAAAGTGCCATTATCTGTGGCATGTGATGATAGACACATCAACAAAAGAGATAAATGAATTCTGGCCCTGTCAAGGAGAAAAAGGTCCTAAAGTTCCAGGGATGGTAAGAGGTGACTCTCTGCCTCCTCAATGGCTACGTGGGCTTGATGAGCACAAGGGCCATGGTTTCAGGGCACCTAAGAAGTGGGAAAAATGGCAGCACGGTGCCCACCTCAATCCTCCTCTTCACATGGCTGAGCTTGTGGAACAAAGAAATGAACTCATTTTAGCCTGGCTTCCTGGTGAGGCCCCACTAGGAAGGGGACTTAAGGGTCTGAGGCCTACACCTAAGGAGAGGGACTGAGGCTTCAGCTGCTGTTGCTGCTATCTTCACTGTCTGATTACACCCCCAGCTGGCTCAGGGATGAGGCATTGGCTATCCAGTCCGATGTATCCACCTCCTTCAAACTTGGAGTTATGACTGTGCTTGGGAAGGGCAAGATCATATGCCCATTGCTGAGGCAAAGTTTTGGGGCAGTTTCTTCCTTTGCTACAACCAGACCCACCTCCTTTGCTGTCTAGTGCACTCACATTCCACACCTAGCTCTCCAATTTCTGGGATTTTTTTAAGGTGTGGGACCTCCTCTAAAATGGCAGTGGGGTTGGCTTAAATGGACAAGCTGAGAAGGTGCAAGGGTAGGCTGTTCATCAGCGTCAGAGTCTTCAAATCGTCACCATCTCCTGGCCTGTTCCATCACAGCCTCCATTTATTTTTGGTCTTCCTCCTGCTCTCACTGGCACTTCTCCTCCTGGGACGATGGACAGCGAGTGCCACTCTAACACTTCAAAGTCCTGGTGCTGCTTGAGCTCCTTCAATTACTGCAGGTTCTCCAGGACATCCATCTTGGAGTCCTTGGTCCAGTTTTCCTGCACCTTCATGGGATTATTGTACTCTTCATCTCTTTCCTTCTGTACCCTTTTCTCTTCCTCTTCCAGGAGTTCCTCAGCTTGGAAGTTCCAGGTGGATCCATATTCCATAGTATAATCTGTATTGCCTGGGTCTGTTTTGAAGGTGATTTCAGCTAGAACAGGCACACAATTCAGAAATGAAAAACTGGGAGTCCCAAATATAGCTCATTCTGCACTGTCTGCTTCTGGGCATTAAATTTCTTGTCTTTATAAATATACTCACCACATATCTCACTTCTCCTATTGAGTATGGCCAACAGCCTTGTAACATATTGCTAATCTTTGGGAAGCTTGAGTTTAGGAATTTTTGATTAATCAGATATGGTGGATAGCACTTATTTAAGATTTTTCTCACTGACATCTTGGCACCGCTTCATGAACAGCACCCCACCACCAGTCACCAATTCACCAACTGCTCCCAGGCACTGGCCACTGCACAGTAGGTCTCTAAATCGCCCAGTCCACCTCTGTGAAGTACCCTACCTGAATCTACCATGCTCGCAGGTCAAGGGCACAATGGCTTGACCTCAAAAGATTTTTATGCCCTCTCATATAAAGGCTTTAGGAGAAGGAAACATGCCTTTTTGGGACTTAATTGTGACCACCTTCATTTTATCATGATGATGATCTAACAGGCATAAAAAGAAAAATGGTCAGTTATTTTAAAAATCAATTTGAAGGACACTAATGCATTATTGGTGGAGTTGTGAACTGATCCAACCATTCTAGAGAGTAGTTTGGAGCTATGCCCAAAGGGCTATAAAATTGTACATGCCCTTTTAGCCAGCAATGCCACTATTAAGTCTGTATCCCAAAGAAATTATAAAAAAGGGAAAAGGACCCATATGTACAAAAATATTTATAGCGGCTCTTTGTGTGGTAGCAAAGAAATGGAAATTGAGAGGATGCCCATCAGTTGGGGAATGGCTGAACAAGTTGTGGTATATGAATGTTATGGGCATACTATTGTGCTATAAGAAATGATGAGCAGGCGAATTTCAGAAAAACCTGGAAAGACTTACATGAACTGATGCTGAGTAAAGTGAGCAGAACCAGGAGAACATTATATACAGTAACAGCAACATTGTATAATGATCAGCTATGGTAGACTTAGCTCTTCTCAGCAATACAATGGTCCAAGACAATTCCAAAAGACTCACTATGGAAAATGTGATCCATATCCAGAGAAAGAACTATGGAGTCTGAATGCAGATAGAAGCATATTACTTTCTCTTTTCTTTCTCACGGCTTTTCCCTTTTGTTATGATTCTTTTTTTTCACAGCATGACTAAGGTGGAAATATTTTTTAACATGATGGCACATGTATAACCTGTATCAGATTGCTTGCTGTCTTGGGGAAAGAGGGAAAGAAAAATTTGGAACTCAAAATCTTATAAAAAATGAACTTGAAAACTACCTTTGCACGTAATTGGAAAAAAATAAAATACTATTTACAAAAAAAAATAGTTCTACATATATATATATATATAAATTAAAATGAAATAAATTAATTTGAAAACAGAAAAGCGAGATTGGCAAATGACGAAGTTACAGGTCTACTGTCTTTCCATAACACATACACACCTCTTCTAAAGGCCTATTTTGTTATGGGGGCAGTAGGGCCAAATAATTTTGACATGGCTAGAACTACACAATATTGTAGAGTGGACATAGAGAAGGGCTTAGAAGACCTTGCTTCAAATACCACCTCATAAATGTACTAGCCATGCTACCCTGGGGAAATCACTCAACTACTCCAAGCTCATTTTCTCCTCTGTAAAATAAAGATATCCATGTAACACAGATGTCACAGGCATGATGGGAAGGTCAAATGGGGGATCACAGGCTCACAGTTAGAGCTGACAGGGAGAATCCTCTTAGGCCATCTAGTCCAACCCTCCTCATTTTACAAAAGAGTAAACTGAGGCCCAGATAGCTCAAGTAACTTACCCAAAGTTGCACAGGATAATGGATATAAAGTGATTTACAAACTTTCAAGCATTACATAGGGTGTCCCAAAAGTTTTAATAATTTAAAACTTGCTCTAAAACTTTTAGGACATCCTGTATCTAACAGAGTTTTCTTTTTTACTACTGTCTTGCCTCTGTTTTTTTTTTACTAAATATCTCACTGATGCTTTTTTTTTTACATCACTGACCACTTCTCAATGAGTCCCCACCATCTCCCTTCATAGATCTCTCCCTTATAACAAAGATACAGAGTTAAGCTGACTAATCTATTTATCCATTTCCAGCATAGGTAACATGTTCCTTGAAGGTAGGGATTATTTCTTTTTTTTGTCTTTATATCCCCAGTGACCAGCATGTAGCAGGCACTTCATAAAAACCTATTGGATGATTAAGCCAACATCATGACCCATTCCATACCTATAGTCCACGCACCTCTTGGGGGATGAGGAAAGCATACTCTCAGTGTCTGAAGTCATCGCATTGATAAGAGCTCTGATCCCTTTCAATGTTGGTTTTCTTTCTATTACTCTGGTATCCCCTGTCCCCTTGAATGGAAATTCCCAAAGGGTTCAATTGGAGGGCCCTAACTGAATGCAGATTCAAATATTATCTGTCACCAAGATTTACACAGTCACTGAAGTGAAGTATAGTAGCAGGTTAATATTTGATGCATTTGTCTGAGGACCAGCCCCTGCCTTGATGATGGAATATATCTGAAGTGAAGCTAGTCCATTCTAGT